GTTTTCTCTGATGTCTGTTTTCAGAAAGGACAACAGTTGTCTGATATATTTTGGTGCTCTTTCGTTTGGTGAGTATATGTTAATGAGTGTTACTTCTTCTTGAAGTATTGTCCCCTTAATCATAATGTGGTGACCATTGGGGTCTCTTTTTATTTTTTTGAGTTTGAAGTCTGTTTTATCTGATATAAGTATAGCTGTTCCTGCTTTCTTTTTTGGCCCATTTGCTTGTAGGATTGTTTTCCATCCTTTGACTTTGAGCCTATTTTTATCTTTTGTAGCTAAATGTGTTTCCTGGAGACAGCAAAAGGTTGGGTTTTGTTTCTTAATCCAGGCTGCAACTCTGTGTCTTTTTATTGAAGAGTTTAGTCCATTTACATTTAGAGTTAATATTGATATGGTAGCATCTGTATTTGCCATTGTGTTTGTCTTTCCTTTGATTTTATTTATTTTTTTAATAACTTTTTTTTTTTTTTGGCCTTCTTTCATTGTTATTCGTCCCTCTGAGGTTCTGGCTTTAGGACTCCTTGTAGTATTTTTTGGAGTGGGGGTTTAGTTGCAATGAAATTCCGGAGTTTCTGTTTGTCTGGGAAAGTCCATATTCTTTCTTCAAAGAGGAAGGAGAGCTTTGCGGGATAGAGAATTCTTGGTTGGCATCTGTTTTCTTGGAGTCTGTTGACTATGTCCCTCCATTCTCTCCTTGCCCGTAGTGTTTCTTCGGAGAAGTCTGATGTCAGCCTGATTGGCTTTCCTTTGAATGTTATCTGTTTCTTCCCTCTTGCCAGCTTCATTATTTTTTCCTTGTCCTGGATTCTTGGGAGCTTTACTATTATGTGTCTTGCTGTATTTTTCCTTTCGTCGTGGAAGTTTGGTGTTCTTCTTGCTTCTTGTATATCAATTTTCAGCTCCTCCTTCACATTTGGGAAGTTCTCTTCAATTATCTCTTTGAATATTTTCTCTGTTCCTACATCTCTCTCCTCTCCTTCTGGTATTCCTATAACTCTTATATTTCCTTTCCTCATGGAGTCAGATAGTTCCCGAAGTCTTTCTTCGTTCTTTTTCCTTCGTACTTCTCTTTCCTTTTCTGTTTTGGTTCTTTTTATTTCTGTGTCTTCAAGATTACTTATTCGTTCTTCCATTTCATCTATTCTGCTTTCATTGCTTTTCCCAGAATTCTTTAGTTCTTCCATTAATTCTTTGATCTCCTGCATTTCTTTTACTTCCCTCTTTAGGGACTCAATTTCATTCTTCTGACCATTGTTTTCCCTCTCTAGGGACTCAATTGCATTCTTCTGATCGTTGATTATTTTTCCCTTATCATTGTTTTCCTTTATGACTTCTGTCAGTTTTTTAATCACGGCAATTTTAAATTCTCTTTCTGGAAGGCTCAGAAGTTCTTCCAAGTTACTGTCGTTGCAATCTGGGGGCTGCTTTTCTTTTTGTGGTGTGCTTTTTCCCTGGGGAGTTGCTAGGTTGCGTGTGGTTCTTCTCCTCCCTACTGTCTGTTTTCTAATTTGCCGTATGCGTTGGGACACTGTGTAGTTGGGACTGGCCGGCATCTTGGGTGAGCTTCTCTGCCCTCCTCTGGTTCCTCCAGGAGTCATCTGTCAGTTTCAAGCAGTCTTTACTGGAGAAAGGTCCCTGTTCTAAAATGCCGATGTGGGGACACACTCCCCTGTGTGCCTGGTCTGCCCCGGCGGTGGGTTCCTGCTCCCCCTCTGGGCTTGGACTGCAGGCCAGAGGGGGTCTGGCGTGGGCGAACTTCCCCCGCTCACCTCTGGCTCCTGAGGAAGCCTTCTGCATGTAGTCTTTACTGAAGAAATGTCCCTGTTGTAAGATGGTGATGTGGGACACACTCCCTGTGCGTCCGGTCTCAGGCACACTCTTTTGCGCACCTGGTCTGCCCCCGCTGTGGGTGCTCGCTCCCCCTGTGGGCTCAGACTACTGGTCGGAAGGGGCCCGGCGTGGGCTAACTCCCCAGCTGGCCACTGGCTCCTCTAGGCGCCTCTGCTGGCTTCAAGTCGCTAGTTGGCACCAGAGATCTCTCCTAGAGCCCTTGGGGAGCTGATTTTCCACCCCGTGGGACAGGGAATAGAGCGGGAATGGTAGGGTAAACCTCAACGGCTTTGGGGTGCTGTGTCTGCCTTGTGCCCCACCATCGTGGGGAACCCACGCCCCTAGTTTCGTGCCCCGGGTGTCAGTTCCAAAGCCCTTAGTTCCAGGACTCAGGCTGTAGCCCAGTTCAGTGGCGCGGGAATGGCGCCTTTTGAATCCCGCTCCCGTGCCTGGGCGCCTGGTTCCTGCTCACTCAGTGAGGGCCTCCGCGCGTCTCCCCGCAAGCCTAGGTCTCAGGCGCAGGGACCTGGGCAGCTGCGATCTGGATCCGCGTTTGCTTTTCAACTGCACTGCTTTTCCGCGCGCGATCCGGATTCCGATCCGCACTTGGTTTTCCAGCGCGCCGCTGTTCCGCGCAGTCCTGACCGCGATCCGCGCCTGTTTTTCCAGCGCACCGCCTTTCAGCGCAGGCTTACCGGGCAGCCCGGGGCTGTGTGCTGGTGCTGGTCTCCTCCCCGGGGGCGGGGTCTCTCTTCAGTGGCGCCTGGAGCCGTTCGCTCACCTCCGCGGCGGATCCTGCGGGGTTCTCCACAGCTCCCGTTCACGGGGTGTGGTGGCTGAAATAGTTCCTTTCCACTCACAGTCCCGCTTGCTGGTCGTTTGTTCTTGTTGGTCGTTTTGGTTTGTTGTTTTCCTCCTCTCTGCGGGTCGGAGAGTGCTGCCTCTGTGGGCGGGGGAGGGGAGCAGGGTTCTGCGCTTCCCTCCCTTCTAGTCCTCTTTTATGGCCACTTTCTTCTTCGGGTAGTTTGCTGGAGTCACCCGTTTATCTTCCGTGTCCCAGTTCTCTCTGGGACCTGCCGCTTTTCCTCCCTATTAACTTTTTTTAATGGGAGATCTTACTCGCAGCGTCTCCTCTCCGCCATGTTGCCTGAGCCCACTCTTGCTGGGAGGTCCCCGTGAGTTTCTGTGCACAGAAATGAGCCATTCACCTTCTCTCTGCTGTTGTTTTATTTCTCGTATTAGTGTTTTAATCAATGAACCTGTAAATAAATGCATTTTTGTTTTCCTAGAACTGGGATGTGCCGTGTTACCTTGCGAGAGTTGCTGTCAGTGCAGCAGGCTCATCGTGTCCTGGATGCTGTTGTGTCTTTGCGTTTGTTTAATTCATTGTTTAACCCTCCGGGTTTCTGTATTCCAGCGAGTCTCTGCCCTTGGTTCCGCTACATGCATTGCTTACTGTTTTGTCATTTCACTGGCAGCATACAAGAGCTCCTGTGTGTGTGAACACGGGTGTGTGTTATAGTCTGCTCACTGGGTTTTCCTTTCCAGAGTCGCTTTACTGTGGCTTTCATTAGTTTTCCAAGAATGAATTATAACTAGTTATGACCATTTTTATGTATGTTGTCTTTTTGTTGTTGCTGTTGTTATGTGGTGTCACCAGAACCCATTGTGAATAGGGGACACTGAGCATCTTTGTTAGTCCTTCTCTCACTGGGAATGTTGATGTCGCCTGTGGCTGTGTCAAGGACTTGTTTTCTGTTGAGGAAAAATCCTCTGAATCCTTTTTTAGCTAATACAAATGGAAATTTTTTTTAATGGGTTCCTGTTCTATATGTATGTGGAGGTGCACAGGATTTACTACACAGGAAAGGACATGATGGAATAAATTTACGGATTTCTTAAGATGTTTGTTTTCTTATACCGCATATCTTATTTTTCAAAACTCTTTCATTGCTATGATTTATTTTTTCCTTTCTCCAAAAGAAATATTTGTCTCTTCTTGTTGTTTTTCCTCTTCTTTTGATACCTTTTGTTCTGGTCACCGTGTTCTCCCCTACGGTGATGAAAACTATCAATAATATCCTGGAGATTCCCAAATTCTTTTCTTTAATATTTATTTTATGTATGCATATAAACGCTCGGGTGTAGGCCACAGGTGCAGGGGGTGAGAGGATTCACCAGAGACAGAGTGGGGAACAGAACAGGCAGACTGACTGAAATACTGTGCTGAGGGGAGCAGTGGGGAGACAGGAGATATCTGCTGTGCCTTGTGGATAGCTCCCTGGTTGGGGATTGAATTCGTGCTGCAGCAGCTGCCGATAGCTTCATAGTGCTGAGACTTAAACTCTTGTGTCACCAGGGACGTCATGATTCCCAAATTTCTGTTTTCAGCTTAGACTTCCTGATCTATCAGACACATGTCCAGTTGCGTGTGGAATTCCAGTGTCTACCAGCCCATTATGTGCACAGTATATTAGGAAAACATTCCTCGTACCTCAGCCACCAAGTTATTACCGAGTTCTGCTCCCCTTTGTCCTTCCATTTTAGAAGAGATGACCTGTTCTGTCGTCTTCTGACTGTCAGCTGAACATCCTTTCTTAAAATTTTATTTTATATATATTTTACATCATTTTTTATTTCTGCACAAGGTATGCATTTTCATCTTGGTTATAGTCCCCATACATCCCACCCCCCTTATTTTGACCCTAATCCCTCCACCCCCCATAGTGCATCTCTGGTTTATACTTGCTTGTAGTTGAACATCTCTTACCTGTGCTTTTTCCCACCTCATTGCTTGAACATTCTGGTTTCGGGTTCACTTTTTGTTTACTGTGAGTTGGAGATACCAGGCTTTGAGGTCACAGGAGTAAAATATTGACACAAAGTTGCACATGCTTTTATTTGTTATGAAGCTCATTTAGCACATGATTCCGGGTGTGTGTCTGTTATACCTGCCAGCCAGGCTATCAGCTCCTCAAGGAGCAAATTTTTTTTCCTCTTTTTATTCTTAGAATCATAGACACTTCCAAATATATAAGGTAAGCTATAGTTCTACTTGTAGGACCAAAGGGGTGAATGTAGAGGTGAGGCTCTTTCAACTACGAATTCTATACAGGACCGAAGACCCACAAAATAAGATGTGTTTGCACTTGCTCTGTCTGACCCAGGCTGCCGGCCCTGAGATGAGAAATGTTCCCTCAGAAGGGACGGTGTCATTTGAAGATGTGGCTGTGAACTTCACGTGGCAGGAGTGGCGGTACCTGAGTGAAGCTCAGAGGACCCTGTACTGGGATGTGATGCTGGAGACCTGCAATCACCTGGTGTCCCTAGGTGAGGAAGCTCCAGTGTAACACTCTAGTGCAATGCTGTCTTCTGTACCGATAAGTGTGCACTTGCTTATGAAACTGAGTGTTGGTGAGGTTGAACATGGCAGGCAGTGTGCATTGTGGGTGTTTTGGTTTTCATTTGGAAAGATTCAGATTGGCCTCTTTTGCACAGCTCGTCACACTGCATGTATTACTTTTCAAAGACTGAAGTTGAACTTGATTGAAGACCAACACTGTTTCTCATCACAGGGCACTGTGTTACCGATCCTAAGGAGAGCATCAGGTCGGAGCAGGGATTACAGTTGTGGACTGTGGATGATCCCCCAAACCAGGACCACTCAGGTCTGTCAGTGCTTGCCAGGCCGGGAGGAGAGGAGAGGCTGGGAGGAGGCTGGGAGGTGCTTTTCCAGTGTCCAACCTTGGAGAGTGTGTCTGCATATATCAAACTGATTCTTTATTCAGTTCCCAAATATTACTCTCTTGTGAATTTCGTCCTGCTCTTTTAATGATAGTTGTCTATGTTCTTAAACCAGTATGCAGTCCCTGATACATGGGGATTATTCTGCAGTAATCACGTATCTCTATTCTCTCTCTCAGTGTATTCTCATAGACTGTTTTCTTTAGGTACCTGTTGAGGAATTTTTTTATTCTTTCCGTATGTTTATGGGAAGTTTAGCCAGTGATAAATTTTCTATGACACGGGAGAACAACAGTACTCACAGAAATGATCTTTACATTCCGAAGCTATACACTCTGTGAGGAAAGAATATATAATAAATACTTTTATTAATAGAGAGGTAAAGCCACAGAGGATGTTTGACCAGCATGAGTGAAACAAAGTGGAGGATGTTGTTTTTGTGTGTGTGCTCCATACGCATCATTATAGAGATTAATTCTTTTCTTTCAGAGCTCAGGTGAGGTGAATGGCTTGCACAGACATGTCATATCTATAGTTCCTCTGCAGTCTGGGATAGAGGCTATGTATTGCTGTTGGAGATGTCACTTTACAGGTGACTAACTCAAAAGGGATAGAGGGGCGTTGACTGGAGAGTTATTTAGAACATGAGTAGTGTTCCAGGGGCAAGCCTTGTGACCACCCTCATAGTAATTGTGAGGCTGAGGAGGACCCAGAATTGTTCAGCCTTGGAAGGGATGTTCTGTGACATGGGAGGAGGAACCTGAGGTAGTGGTTTCTAAAGCCATGGAACCAAGAGTTTTAGGTTGGGGGCTCATACCTTGGGGAGCAGTGTGACCTGTGCAATTCCACCTTCTCGTGGGAATCGTTGGGAGGAAAGTAAAGGAATTGACGACAGTGTGATGTAGCTGAGAGTCACACACGGCATAGAAACTGGAGCTGCTATGAACAAAGCAGAAACACAGGTTCCAGGGAGTGCGGTGAGAACACCAGGATGTTGCTCTCAGAAGGATGTGGGAAAAGACTTTAACACTGATAGCACAGGATGGATGCAGAACTTTTTTCCTATCGCTTAGCAGGGAACGTGGGACACACTGATGAGGTGGAGTTTGCTGCATGTATTAGGATTCTGAGCCTTATGTGATATGATATTTAAATATGAACTAACTGGTCTCTGCCGTGGAGGGAAGCGCATGTCTCTGAGACCCTCTGCAGGTGACCGTGGCCCGGGCAGGTTGAAAGAAGAACTAAGGAAATGGAGAAGCAGAGTCCTTGTGTCTCAGCAGGCCTCTTGCTTAAAGTGCCTGGGCAATGACTGGGTCTCTCAGTCCACAGGTTTCTGGGAAATCCATGGCCTCTGTAGGGCTTGGTTATTCAGAAAGTACCCACACGAGCTGCACAGGGTCAGTCTAAGAAAGAAAGTGTGTAGGATCTATGTTGGGTGAAATGCTTCTGGTTGAAATCGACAACTCTAGTTAAAAGACTATAATTACCAAATATTTATGATTTTATAAAACCATTGTGAAATTAGTTTTACCACTTTGTTATCCTGGTTTGGCATTAGAAAATCTGTTAATTGGGGCCTCCCTGGAGGCCTAGGGAGTAAGTCTCTTAGCTCTCACTATTATGGCCTAAGTTTGATCCACAGTGAAGTTTACCGACTTTGGCACAGCAAATCTCTCCTGTCTCACCCGCTGCTCCCCTCAACAGTGTATTTCAGTCAGTCCTCCTGTTCTGGTCAACACACTGTCTCCATACTCCCCTACAGCACCCCCACTCCTGCACCTCTGGCCTACACCCCAGATCTCCTATGCTAAAGTAAAAAAAATACCAAAAAATCTATTCTCCCCATAATTTACTACGGGCAAAAAGCATGAATCAGAAAATCAATACCTGTAAATTATGTTGTAATATAGGAACTTTCGTGCCACTTAGTAATATTCACTCAGAATGCTTACTTTTTAAAGACATGGTCATTTTTATCTCACTTTAGATGTCTATACTGTGGATCACCTGACTCAGGACAGCCCTGCAAATCAGGGCAGACATGCGTGGCAAGTTCTTACCACCAGCAGCAAAATACCATCCAACGAGAGAACTGACTTAATGGAAAAAAGCAATTTGCACTCAATTCATTGTTTGAACCATAGTATCAAAAATGAAAACAATTCAGCAATGATGCCTGAGAACTTTACTATACATAGGACCATGATGATCCCTGGTAAGCCTCATGAAGGGCATGCTGGAGAGAACAAGGAGGTCTTTAGTAGAATGAGGAAACCTATCAAGTATCCTGAGCACCTTAGTCACCAGGTGATTCAGAACGTTCAGCAGCCTTTTGAATTTCGTGAACAAGGAAAAGTCGTGAGTGAAGAAACAGTATTTACACCTAGAGGAGCCCTTCTGGAAGGGATTGTCCGTAAATGCAATGAGTGCAGGGACACCCATGATAAGGTACCTTTCGTTGTCCGAGACAGAACCCAAGGAGGACAGACTCCCTGCAGTTGTAATGAAAAGGGGAGAGCTGCGGAGATGACTCCATTGCATTTGAATCCTCCTAGGTATGTTGAACATGAGCAGCAGAAATGTTGTGAAAGTGGGGCCAGTCTCAGAAACACATTTCATACCTATCCGCGTGAGAGTACCCAGTTAGGAAAGAATAATTTGGGATATAAGAGATATGGTGAAGCGGCCTCTAAAACCTCTGTTCTGACTGAACATCAGAAAACACAAGCAGACGATCAACCTTATGAGTGTGGGGGCACCGCTGAGATTTCCTTACAGAGGGGATACCAGAGAAATCTCACTGCAGTAAAGTTGTTTGGCTCTAACAATTATGTGAAAACTTACTCATGGAAGACTGCCCTCACTTTACATCCACATTCTCAAACGGGAGTGAAGCGCTACCCGTGCCAGGTGCGTAAGAAAACTTTCAGGCGGAAACATGCTTTTAGTGTCCATCAGAGAACTCATACAAGGGAGAAATCCTATCAATGTCAGGTGTGCAGGAAAGTGTTCTCCCGTAAGTCAGTTCTTGTTCTACATGAGAGGACTCACACTGGAGAGAAATGCTATGAATGTGAAGGGTGTGGGAAAGCTTTTTCCAGGAAGTCTCACCTTACTGAGCATCAGAGAATTCACACTGGAGAGAAGCCTTACGAATGTCAAGAGTGTAGGAAGACTTTCCTCTGGAAATCATCCCTCAGTAAACATCAGAGAATTCACACTGGAGAGAAGCCCTATAATTGTGAAGGGTGTGGGAAAGCTTTTTCTAGTAAGACACACCTTATTAGACATCAGACAATTCACACTGGAGAGAAACCCTATGAATGTGAAGGGTGTGGTAAAGCTTTTTCCAGTAGGTGTTACCTCAGTGAGCATCAGACAATTCACAGTGGAGAGAAGCCTTATGAATGTCAAGAGTGTAGTAAGACTTTCCGATGGAAATCATCCCTCAGTCAACATCGGAGAAGTCACACTGGAGAGAAATCCTATTATTGTGAAGAGTGTGGGAAAGCTTTTTCCAGTAAGTGTTACCTCAGTGAGCATCAGAGAATTCACACTGGAGAGAAGCCTTATGAATGTCAAGAGTGTGGGAAGACTTTCCAGTGGAAATCATCCCTCAGTAAACATCAGATAATTCACACTGGAGAGAAACCCTATGATTGTGAAGGGTGTGGGAAAGCTTTTTCCCGTAAGTCACACCTCATTAGACATCAGAGAAGTCACACTGGAGAGAAACCCTATGATTGTGAAGGGTGTGGGAAAGCTTTTTCCCGTAAGTCATACCTCATTAGACATCAGAGAAGTCACACTGGAGAGAAACCCTTTGATTGTGAAGGGTGTGGGAAAGCTTTTTCCCGTAAGTCATACCTCATTAGACATCAGAGAAGTCACACTGGAGAGAAACTCTATGATTGTGAAGGGTGTGGGAAAGCTTTTTCTAGTAAGCCACACCTCATTACACATCAGAGAATTCATTCATAGTGGAGAGAAATCCTATGAGTGTCAAGAATGTGGGAAGGCTTTCCGCCAGAAATCATCCCTCAGTAAACGTCAGAGAAGTCACAGTGGAGAGAAGCCTTATGAGTGTCAAGAGTGTGGGAAAACTTTTTCCAGTAAGCAAGCTCTCACTGGACATCAGAGATGTCACTGGACAAAATCCCTATGATTGTGAAGAGTGGGAAAATTTTTCAGGAAGTCAGCCCTCACTAGGCATGACAAACTCCACACTGGAGGGAAATGCTATGAATGTCAAGAGTGCGCAGGCAGGCCTCCCCTGGTGGTGCAGGTGGTTGAGTGCAGCGCTGTGAAGCTGTCCGTGGCCTTTGCGGTGGGAGTTTGATTCCCTGGCCGGCCAGGAGCAGCCCCATAGTGCGGCAGACCTCTCCTGTCTCACCCGCTGCATGTATTTCAGCAGTGTATTTCGGTCAGTCTGCCTGTTCTGTTCCCCGCTCTGTCTCTGGTGCATCCTCTCACCCTCCCACACATCTGGCCTGTACCCTGGTTCTTGTATGCTTGAATAAATAAAAATCTTTTAAAAATCTTCAAACTTAGGAGCTCAAACCACATCATGCAGCTGACAGCAATGGGAACTGACATACAGTTTCAATCCTAATTGCGTGGAGTTACCTGGTTCACTCAGTTCTCCCAAGCTGTATTGCTGTTCCTGTTGCTGTTGCTCCTAGTATCCTCTTAAGTTCCTGGGCGATGCTATGCCTGTCCACAGCAGCTGTCTGTCTACATGGCACACTGCATGTTGCGTGGGTAAGTGATCCCTCTGGGTTTTCTAACTTAGTCGTCACATTCTGTCCAGTACTCTAAGTCTCTGGTGCCCTCCGATGCTGGAATTGCTCACCACCAAAATGTCCTCCTCTAGAAGGAAATGTTGAACTGTGTGCTCTCGGCTATAGGTTGAGGTCTGCAGCTGTCTTTACCTACCTTTCATGATGAAGGTTTTTTGGGGCCTCCCTGGTGGCCTCGGTGTTAAGTCTCAGCGCTATTGCCTGCTCTGGCCAGGGTTTCAGCCCCAGCTAGGGAGCCGCCCCACATATGGCCGCAGCAGGCCTCTCCTGTGTCACCTGCTGCTCCTGTTAATCAGGTATTTCAGTGGTTCTGCCTGTTTGTCACCACACTCAGTATCTGGTGAATTCTCTCACCCCCGAGCCTCTGGTCTACACCCTAGTTCTACAAAATAGGGGAATTTTGTTAGAAGATTAACTCTGCATACAAGATCTGGGGTGCAAACCGGTGGTATGAGGGGGTGAGAGGATTCTCCATAGAGAGAGTGGGGTGCACAACAGGCGGATCTACTGAAATCCACTGCTGAGGGAGGCAGTGGGGAAACAGGAGAGGTCTACTGTGCCCGTGGGTCACCTCCCTGGCCAGTGATCGAACTCGTGTCTGCAGTACTGAGAACAGCTTCATAGTACTGAGACTTCACCCCTGCACCAACAGAGGCCCCTGAAATTTTTTAAAGGAAAGGATTCTTGTCTGTTAATTTTTTTTTTTAATAAATTGTTGTTCATCTTTGTGCAATATTGGATTGCTCCCCTTCTGTATAATTCTTGCAAATGTCCTGTCCACACCGCCCCTGTGACCGTCACCCCAGGCCCTGGTGCTCCTCCTCCCCTCCTGGCCCCTCTTCTGCCCCATCCCCTGCTGGCGTCTCAGCTCTGTCATCTGCCTGCTAGTTTTGTCTTTTTCCCCTGACCCTTTCTTCGTTCGCCTGTATTCCTCCTGGAGGTGATGATGTAATCCTGGTCTTTTTTCTTCACTCTTTGTTCAGAACATAATCCCTTCTGCCATTGCTGGTCGAGCCCTGAATGTGGTCTTTGTCTGAGTCAGTTCATACCTTGGGGTGAGTGGTCGGTGTGTTAGGTGGTGGCCGAGGAAGTCCTTGATGTAACTCTTGCTCCCACTCCCCCCTCAGGGTGTGTTTCTTTGGCTCCTTGGTGATGCCGAGCGGAGAGTTTGTGCAGCAGGCCCAGAGTCTGAGGTCTCGGGTGTGCTCTTCTTCATTTCTTGTCTTTGGTACGAAAGTACTTCCAGGTGGAGCCCAGAGTTCCAGAAGAGCCAGACATTTATTCACAGGAGTAAGGACAAGAAAGCTCCCTGAGCAGAACGGTCCCAAGGGTTGTCCGCTGGGGCCAAGAAGCAGGGGCTCCCACGGCTGTGGCGGGCAGGGAGCAGGGGCTGGTCGTGAGGATCTCTGCCGCATGTCTCTTGCTGAGGGGCTTGGCCTGAGGGCTCTCCCGAGGCTCTGAGTCCCGCTAAGTTTGCCCCCGTTACTCGCCCGCATGTCCACACCTAGCCTCAGTCTGTGGATTTGCAGTCGTGCCCTGTGTAGGCTCCACGGTGTCCTCTCCGCGGGGCTGGGCTCGGGGCCCGTCCATCGGGGATTGTTTCTCTGATCATGGATTTGGGACTTGGGCGCCCACTCCTCCCTGTCCGTGCCCTCTACGCAGCTTCCTCAGTCAGGAACATCTCTACGGCCAAAGCCCCCGTCCTGTGTTTCCAGGTCGGTGACTGATGGGGTGTCTGTCCCCTGAGAGCATCCTCCCTGATTCAGGGGGAGGTACATTGGTCCCTTCAAACTCCACCTGGAGTGTCGTGGCCACGGGCCTTATTCCTCAACACGCCGTGGGAGGTCGCTGAGGTTTTCACCCCTAGGCCGCAGGACGGTTTCCATGATGCTGCAGGCTCCTACGTGTCCTCGAGCACCCTTTAAAGATGGCATCGGCCCCCTCAGCCTTCACCTCAGACCTTGTCCAAAGAGGCCTGCAGGGTTTGCTAAGACAATGCTCCTCTGCTAGTACCATGTTCCCTGGAAGTGTCTGTTGCTGTGACGTGACCCATGTGGGCTGTTGCAGCAAGGGTCACTCTCTGCTCTGAAGGTGACTCATGGGTTCAGGGGACTCGTGTCATGTCCCCCTACAGGTGTGTTGGGGCATCCAGGGGTGTGGCTTGTGAGGCCTCTGTGGATGGGTGGGCGGCCCAGGTGGGTGGTGATGCTGTCAGCGGTGGTCCAGGAGAGGCCTCCACCGTGCTCCATGGGGACCTTGCCCAGCTCAGCCGCATCCCGGGGTCAGGATGCGCAGCATCAGCACAGCCCAGAGACACTGTCCACGCTCCAGCGGTGAGGACACTACAGGAGCCTTGATCTCCAGGGACAGGTTGTGGACCAGGGCAGGGGAGCAATCCCCAGAGACGAGTGGGGAGCAGAACAGGCAGATCCATTGAAATCCACTGCTGAGGGGAGCCGCGGGGAGACAGGAGAGGTGCTGCGCCCTGTGGGTCAGCTCCCTGGCTGGGGATGGAGTTCTTGCTGCAGTGGCTGTGGACAGCTTCACGGTCTGAGACTTACGGAGCAGGGAGGCTATGGGTCCATTCTTGTGTGGGGTGCTTATCCTTCGGATATGGGGACAAGAGGTGTGTGCTACTTGCAGGTCTGTGCCATCTCCATTGGTCGCCCCCACCTCTAAGTTCATCCCCTGGATGAAAGGGAGTGTACCCATAAGATACCAAGATGGATGGCCGGTCTTGGGCTGCGAGGTTCTCTTTCTCTGGAGAAGCAGAACTGCTCGGGAAGAACATGTTGGTCTTGGTAATGTAGCCAGGCTAGAAGACAAAGAATAGTTTGACTTTTAACCCTTTGCACTCCGAACCATTCTGGACATTGGCTACAAGCTACTCGATGCTACTTTGCAGCGGAAACGTGCATTTACAGACCCTCGTATTATTTAGTATAATTTTGGAACCAAGTAACATATTATAATGATATTGGACATACATGAATTGGGTGACATCGAGGAATGTATATTTACAAAAAAAACAATATTTTATTGTTTATAATTTTGTACAGTACGATAAGTTTTGTAACACTCCCCAATATGCATTGCAGGCTGATTAGTGGAGCTCATCTTTACTACTACTTGTGTCATGAGACTCATTCGTGGTTGGACGCTTTGCCATTGTTCTAATAAAAATATAAATAAATGCATGGGTTGAAAGTTTCTAATTGTTATTACTAACTGACAAGATGATATTTACCAAAATAGCTTTCACCAAACAATTTATTCACTAAGAAAAGAATCACTTTTCCGATTTTCTCCTCTTTAGATTTATGTGCACTGCTCGAGGCTTCAAACCAAAATGAGCTCAGCTTTGAAAATCTTTTCCTCCAGATGTAGACTTGTTTATTTGTAATTATATATCTCACTACACAGTGCACACTGTTTGAAAACTGACCTTTCTTCTACAAAGTCCCCTTATTACTCTTTTCAAGTGGCATATTGAAGTCCTCGGACCGTTGTGAGCACGCATCTCACATTCTTGTCCGACACAAAACCCACTGACATTTTTTGTATATATCTTAGTAATTTTACGATATTTTGATTTAATTTCTTGTGCCATTTCAAGATAAAACTTCAGGGAAACATGCATGTCTCAAAAAGTTGCGTTGAAATAACTCAATTCCCCATAATCACTAATAAATTGCAATGTCCCCTGAGAGGGGACATCCGAGTGATATGCTAGAATTCCGATGTCCCCTGAGAGGGGACAGCAGAGTGCAAAGGGTTAAGCAATGAGCAGAAAGAACGCAGGTCTATTTTGGGGATGAATGTAAGCCTTTGGGACACCCTGGTTTCAGAAATAAGAGTAACATGACAGAGTGAGTGTATGTAATAACACCAAACTCCGCATTGAAAAACATATGCCTTCCTGGGCCTCCCTGGTGGTGCAGTGGTTGAGCGCTGGGTTGCGAAGCTGCCCGCGGCCTCTGCGGCACCGGTTCAATCTCCGGCTGCTCCCCGGCCATCAGAGGAGGGTCCCACATGGTGCGCAGACCTCTCCTGCCGCCTGCTGCTCCCCTCAGCAGTGTACTTCGGTCCTTCTGCCTGTTCTGCTCCCCGCTCTGGCTCTGGTGAATTCTCTCACCCTCCCGCGCTTCTGACTGTACCCAGTGCTTGTATAAACCAAACAAACAAACAAATAAATAAAACATGCCTCTATTAAAAAAAAAAAAAGAAAAACATATGCCTTCCTAAGTACAAGTAATGAACTAGAAGAGGAAAGCCATTAACAAAGCCATTCCACCTACAATTGCACACGCAAAAAAATTAACTGGGAATAAATTTAACAGAGGAGGTGAAAGACTTTTACAAGGAAAACTATCAAACATTGTGGAAACAAATAATAGAAAGCATAGAGAAATGGAAAGAAAGACCCAGCACATGGGGTGGAAGAATCAACATTGTCCAAAGGGCCATCCAACCCAAAGCCCCTTCTAGATTCACTGCAACCCCAATAAATATCCCGATGGCATTTTTCAGAGGAATAGAACAAAGATTACTTAAGTTCATATGGAAACACAACAGACCCCAAATAACCAAAGCTTTCCTGATTAAAAGCAGGGGGAAATGAAGGAGTCACACTTCTGACCTCAAACTAAAGGTAAGGGGCCTCCCTGGTGGCCCAGGGGTTAAACACAGTGCTCTCAAACTACTGCCAGCCACTGTGCACAAGTTGGATCCCCAGCCGGCCAGGGAGCTGACTGCCATGTGCCTCAGACCTCTCCTGACTGGCCTGCTGGGCCCCTCAGCAGTATATTTTGTCAGTCGGCCTGCTCTGTTCCCTGCTCTGTCTCTGGTGAATCCTCTCAACCCCGGCATCTGCGGCCTGTACCCCAGCTCTTGTGTGCATAAATAAATAAATCTTAAATATTCGTTAAACGAGTATTTTGGAAAGCCAAATAAATAATTGAGCTAGAGTTACCTTATCAAATCCTTAGTTATAAATTAATCTGACTTGTGATATCATTTTGAAGAGTACTACTCATAAGTAGATTCATGAAACAAATCTGTAAAAACTTGGATGTGTGCAAGAATATGTGGAACATCCTGAGAGACAGAAAATACATCCCAAGAGCAGGCCAGGAGGAGCTGCTCACCTTCTCACAAGCAGGGATGAGCATCAAGCAGTCTCGGGCAGGGAGAGGCCGCGTTGTTTCCAGCTCGTGTCATGAGACTTTCCTGGGCTTGGCTGCGGTGACCGACATGTCGGCCAAGGTGAGGTGAAGTGTGGACTCTCTCTCAGTCCTGAGAGCTGGGGTGGAGGACGTGGATGCTGCTCAGAGCGCCGTCTCGCCGTGACTCTGTGCACCCTGCTCAGCGGCCTTTCTGGGTGAGCTGAGGAAACAGTGTGAAGGACACGTGAAGTCTGTGAAAAGGCTGAGTAACCTAGGAATGTTTTCCCTCTGCGGCGGGCCCTGTGCTGGCTCCGACTGCTCCCAGCCCTCCAGGGAAGCCCTCTGGGAAGCCGGAGCCGCCGCCTCCAGGGGCCTGAGTCCCGAACTGGGGGGGGGGGGGGGGAGAGGTTCCTGGGCCAGGTGGAGTCGGGCTGGGCTGCGGAGGCGAGGCGGCCCAGAACCTGTGGTGCCGGGAGCGGCCCTCGGCGGGTGGAGTCCTCCATTGGGCGCGAATGTCCTCAAGGCGTTCGCGGGGGATTCTCTCCACAGCGGCCGCCGAGGCCCACGGAGGAAACGGGGTGACGAGAAGCCACGGGCGGCAGTGGGCGGGGGGACCTGCACCCTCCCGGGCAGAGGCGGCCCTGGCACTGTCGCCCGCGGGGGCTTGTGCCATCGCGGGGCACTCCACGGGGGGACGACCGTCCCAGGTCCCTGGCGGGACCGTCCCCCCGCGCTCCCCCATCACCCACGTGTCCTCCCCGAGCCGCGACGGTCTCGGCGCCTCCGGAGCGTCAGCCCGTCCTAGGCAAGTCCTCCCCGCGCGCCGGGGTCCGAGCTGGCGGCGCCTCCTCCGGGTTCTCAGCCCTCCCTCGACTCTCCTGGGGCGCTGCTCCTTCGGCGCCACTGGACACGGGGTGTCCCCAGGGGTCGTGCGGGCGGCTGTTGTCAGAGTGTGGAGACACGAGTGCGTGCGGGGGTTGTTCTGTGTCTGTCACTCACCTCCTTTGTCTTCTGGGGGGGTGTGACGTCGAAATTGGGAATTTAAAAAGTCCTGTTGTTACAGGAGGTGGGGGGAGTGCAAAGCCCCCAGAATATCCGCTCCATAAAGGGTCTGCATCTGCTGCATCAACAAAAAGCATAAAAAGGGGCCTCCCCGGTGGTGCAGCGGTTGAGTGCTGGGTTGCGAAGCTGCCCGCAGCCTCTGCAGCACCTGTTCGATCCCCGGCTTCTCCCCGGCCACCAGAGGAGGGTCCCACATGGCGCGCAAACCTCTCCTGCCGCCCGCTGCTCCCCTCAGCAGTGTACTTCGGTCCTTCTGCCTGCTCTGCTCCCCGCTCTGGCTCTGGTGAATTCTCTTACCCTCCCGCGCTACTTACTGATTGTACCCAGTGCTTGTATAAATAAATGAATAAAAAATCTTTAAAAAAAAAAAGCATAAATTTAAAACAATCTGGCCAAGCGTCTTGAGGAAGGGATGGTTGCTGGAGCCCCATGGGCAGGAGGGGAGCGGCTGAGCCCTGCACAGTGGGACCAGGGCAGCTGCCCCTCTGGTGGCCCAGGCTGCGGCCATGGAAGCAACAGCATTTTGCTGCCCCCAGGCCCTGCGTGCAGAACCCCTCAAGCCTCTCAGCGCCACAGAATGTGTCCAGGTCAGTCAGCCCCTCAGGAAGGCTGTGAAACATAAACTGGACAGTCGACAGAGTCATAGGTCAAGGAGCTTCCATTTCTCCTTGTTAAGGAGAATGATTCTAACAGTGAAACCGGGTTGTTGTTTAGAGCCAAGTGGAGTTTCGGGTTCATAAGAACATCCAGAAGTTTCTGATGACAGTAATTATTGGCAGTTTTCTCTATGGAGAGCAGTCATCTCAGCTTGGGAAAAATTTACATGTTGGGCAGATCAGTTCCTGGGAGATGATACTTAGAAGGACAGCACGGGATGGGTGCACCGATAAAGGAAAAGATTGCATGTGGTGTCCAGGATGCTGTCATTATTCAAGACACCATTTGCATCGCTCACAGTAAAGGACCCCAGGTGCTATAATGTGGAACCTGGAACACCGGGTGCTTCAGCCTCTAAACTCCCTCCCTCTCTCATGTGGGTGCCTGTCTGAGTGGGGGCATCTATGTGATCATTTGGGACCTCTGGCTCCTCAGGTGTTGATTCCGTCCTCCAGCGTGTCTGTGGAGTCCTCTGGCTGCAGCCAAAGGAGGGGTGGGGAAGGACACTGTGGGTGAGGTGGGGAAGTTTCACTAGCAGACCTCTCTCCTGCCCCTGCTCGGGTGGCTACAGCTCCCGCAGGCACCGCTGCGGTGGAGACCCGTGATGTGATCTTATTGTGGCGCGCAGAGACCGTGTGCCGGCAAGCATCTGGCCGTTCTGCTCGCTTCCTTGCTTCATTCCTGTGTTCACCCTCGAAAACTCAGGGGGTTTTAAGTATTTCCCTTATTTGTACTCCAGAGCCAATGCTGCTTATTGTTGAGGGTCTCCAGTAGTTAAATATTTCTTGTCTATAACGAAACTTCCTTGTGTCCTTGGTTCTCGTGGACCGGGTGCTCCCAGCCCTGGACACCTGGAGGGACATGTTGGCCACGGTGTGGTGCGATACATCCCCTCACTCCTTCCTGAGAAAAGAATGAGATCGTGCCATCCTCCTGCAGAGAGCTGTACATTTAGAACATGTGGACTGCTGGATACGGTGTTTCTTTTTTGGGGGGAATGACCCAAGGAGATGCTTTCCAATGCAGATGAAATCTTCGAGTGTGACAGTACTCACCAGCCATGTCTTGCAGTAACAAATCGCTAGAGACGATGTGTAAGTCCAACCGCGAGGACGGTTGGACAGAGGACAGTGGACCGTGTCCCTGGACTGCGCTGGGCCAGCTACAGGTGGAGGGTGGAGCGTGCTGTGGAGGATGCGGGGCTCAGCAGGGGCCTCGGTCTGCGCGGGGCAGAGAAGAGGCCGCCCCAGAGGCTGGGATGCCACGAACACGGGGCAGCCAGGGTGGGGTGTTGCTGGGGCGGGGAGCCAGGGGCACGGCGCCCCCACCCGACAGCGCAGTGGGCCCACCTGTCTCTCCCGGGAGGGCCGGTCTGGTGCATCCGCGGTGCCCGCTGAGGAATCCCAAGCAGGTGCCCAGCTCGGGACAGACGCCTGTCGCCGCTTGAAAGGCTCCCGACGCGTCCGTGGCCGTGTTCAGAGCAGACACGGGCCATCTCCTCCCTTCTGGGCGGAACTCCTCGACGGGCGGCCCCGCTGGAGGCGCCCAGGTGTGCCAGCCCCATGCACCTGCCGGGCTGTACCTGCGTGTTCCCGCCTGCGCCCGCGCGCCCCGCCCGAGCCCCGGAGTGAAGTCGGGGCCGGCGGGATCCCAGTTTTGGCGTGACCCGTCTCCTCGGGCCTGGGGCCTCTGTGGTCGCAGGAGGAGCAGGTGAGTGGGGGGGGGTGTGGGAACACCCCCGTGCGGCTGCCCACGGAGAGGGGCCTCGAGGCCCTGGCGTGGGGCTGCGGGTGGGACCCCGGGGGCTTGGCTTGCGTCTTCCCGGGCCGGGAGGACCCTGGGGGTCGGTGCTCATTCCTGAGCGTGACCCTCCATGACCTGCCTCCGCGGACGGGTCTCCTGGCGCGTTGTGCCGTGTGGGTGCACCTGGGGTGGGTGCACCGGGCCAGTCCTGCTCCCCACCCGCGTGTTCATCTCAGGGACGCGCCTCAGGGTTTGGGGAACGCGGGGTGACATAGTCCAGGGCCGTTGCCCCCTCCCCGCCCAGTTCTGGCTGGCAGGTGAGCACCCCGCCCCCAACCGGGTCTGAATGGTGCCCCAAAGGAAGGGGAGCCGGTCTCTCCACCCCACCGTGTGCCCTGGGGACAGGTGATGAGGATCTAACCCGGGGCGCCCAGCCTCTACCCTCCAGAGAGGACCTTCAGGAAGGAGGCCACAGGGCCTCCCTGGGGAGCAAGGGTCAGACGCAGCTCTTTGAGGCTGTCCGCAGCCTCTGCTGCGTGAGTTCGGTCCCGGCCAGGGAGCTGCCCACAGGTCACCACAGACCCCTCCTGTCTCCCCGCTGCTCTCCTCAGCAGTGTTTCAGTAGATCCTCCTGTGCTGCTCCCCACTCTCTCTGGTGAATCCTCTCACCCCCCACACCTCGGGCCTGTACCCCAGTTCTGGTATGTATAAATAAAAAATGAGGAGATAAACCCTCCACATGATTAGGTCACGAAGGGCGGGAGGCAAAGTCCCTCTGTGCTCACGCTTCTTTTCCACTAGGGAAAATTCAAACTTTTTTTTGCAAGAAAGTGGATCAGGCAGCTTCCTGGGTGCAAATCTTCACTTTATTTTTTTTCAAAGATTATACAAGAACCGGGGTACAGGCCAGTTGTGCGGGAGGGTGAGAGGATCCCCCAGAGCCAGAGCAGGGAATAGAACTGGCAGTCTGACAAAATACACTGCTGAGGGGAGCAGCGGGCACAACAGGAGGGTTCTGCCGCACCTTGTGAGACCCTCGTAGGCCGGCCGGGATCAAACTGACGCTGCAGAGGCTGCAGAAAGCCTCAAGCGCGATGCTCAACAGTCTGCGCCACCAGGAGAGGCCCCAAAATCAGACTGCGGGTTCACAATGACCTGCGGCTCCCCTCTTGGCTCCCGTCTTGGCTCCCCATTGACTAGTTGCTTTGGTAACTATCAGTTCAAAACCACATCTGATAGAATGAAGTCTCCCAGTAATTTGAGCAGAGGCCATGCCAGGGGCTGTATTGGTTCAGGTTGTCCTAAATTGCCTTCTGAGTGGAAACAAGTTTTTTTCTAGCTGGCCTACGAGGCTGTGATTGAATAGGGAGGGAAACCAGTGACTCTCTGCATTTCATTTTTCTAAATTGTTGATAATGTAAGTTGGGATATTCCTCGGATTTTCATTTTAGGTTTCTCCACTTAGCCATGATACTTGGGAGTTTTCTCCCACGAGGCCTCTGAGCTCCATGTCTAAAACAAAAATTCTCATTTGAGGCTGGGGTAGATAGAAAGAAAATAGACTTTTAGAAAGCATGAAAAATATTTTAGTAAGTTTATTCCAGTTTTATCTGCTGCAACGCGTGTAGTAGGTAGATGAAGAAATGGGAGGAATAAAGCCCCAGATAGTTGACTTTTTAATACAAAGCTCACTGCGAGTGGGCTTGGGATACACGTTAGTGCTCCGTTGGTCCCAGTCTTACCACTTGCAAAGCCTTGATTGGGAGTCACAATAGGAAATGGTCATCTTAAGCCCTCGACGACACTCTGTGGAAGGCTTTGTTTTAGCCCAGATGGACAGTAGCGCCCTTAGGTGTCTGGGCACATCTACTGACTGACCTGGGACAAAGTCCT